TGTACCTGTAAGGTTAGCACTAGCGGCCCTCTCAAACAGTGTTCCACGGGGACAGAGAGTTAACCTTGCAAGGGCAGAGGGTGATAAAGTGACACACTCCGAGCAACTTCACACTCACAAAGGGCCTTGGGCACGCGGTCTCCTGGCTTCTCTTGAAGTCTGTGCCTTCCAATCCTTCCCTCACACTCCCTGCCTCCATCACAGGGAACAGCACCTCACCTCTCTAGCAATGAACGAGACATACCAGCAAGAAGAAGTAACAATGACCAGACCCAGTGTTGTCAGGGATGTGGAGGAAGGGCACACTTACAGATTGCTAGTAATGTGCATCTGCTCCTTTATGGTAAAGAACAACTTGGAAAAATCAAAGTCAAAATACTTCACGGGGCCTGGCCAGTGTGGTTGAGTGTTGCCCTATGAACCAGGAGGTCACAGTTTGATTTCTGTCAGGGCACATGCCTGGGTTGCGGGCTTGATCCCCAATAGGGGGCGTGTAGGAGGCAGCTGGTCAATGATTCTCAGCATTGATCTTTTTATCTCTCTCCCTCTCCCTTCCTCTCTGAAATCAATTTAAAAAAATATATAGCCCTAACTGCTTTGGCTCAGTGGATAGAGCATCAGCCTGCTGACTGAAGGGTCCCAGGTTTAATTCCAGTCATGGGCACATGCCTGGGTTGCAGGCTCAATCCCCAGTAGGGGGCGTGCAGGAGGCAGCTGATCAATGATTCTCTCTCATTGATGTTTCTATCTCTCTCTCCCCCGGGAATAATCCAAAAGGAAACCAAATTTGCAGACAGACCTTGCGGGAATTGGGAGGGATATGAACAGGGTTACTATCCATGAGGTGCTTTGTAACTGGTTGTAAATGGTGAAAGATTCGTCTCGTTAGGGCACCTTCCAAAGGGGAGGAGGGACATGTTTCACGCAAGGACGGTCAGGATGAAGTATTTCAAGTGGATTCCTTTGGAGGGACCCCACCGTACAGGTGTGAAGCCGGGGTGCTTGTGTTGGGAACATGATCACATTGAGTTTTCCTCACACTTGGGGCGTGCGTGTGTGTGTGTGTGTGTGTGTGTGTGTGTGTACAGACACCAGAAGGCCGTCACCCCTAGAGCAGGGTGAGCTGGGCCCAGGAAGTCCTCAGTGAGAAGAAGAATTTGCTTAATGATTCCTGCTCTGTCCGCCCCATAGGGTTTCCGGATACCCAACGAGCCCAGGGTAGAAAGGACCACGGGCACAGACCCCGGAAGTATACATGAGGGGCTGAATTCTTCTTCCCCTGGGATTAGGCTCCAACTTACCCACCTTTCTGAGCTTGGCCTCCCTGTGCACCCACCACCGAAGGGCACCCCCTGGTGTGCAGGTCCACTCTCCCCTCCACTGCTCGCACCTCAGCCTCCTCCGTGCTCAGGGGAGCTAGGCTGGGGCGGGCAGAGGTGGGACGAGTGGTGGTGTGGACACGCCTTGGGTGCCTGGTTGGAGTTTTCATCTTCCTCCAGTTCATCCGACCACCCTTACCTGTGAGCCAGGCACTGGGCTAGGAGCTGGGTGCGTGCCTGCCCCTCCATGACCCCATAGCCCAGCGGGGAAGGGGGCAGAGAAGGGAAGGATTTTCTTCAGTTCCCTGTGCCCGCACCAGGGAGAGGCCAGCTGCAGACCAGGAGGCCCAGCCACCTGTCTAGCTGGGCAGGGCTCAAGCTCGGACCCCCGAGGCGAAGGTGGAGTTGGAGGAGCTCAATGCTCTCCTTCTAAAGGCTAAGCTGACCCTGTGGCTCCGCAGAAAATGGGCCCAAGCTTCCAAGATCCTCATGTCAAAAGTCTAAAATGCCTGTTTTTTGTGAGAAATAGATTTAAAAACAAAACAAAACACGTGCTGAGTCAATACTGTGCAGGCCAAGCTCACTTTGAATGATGAATATGGCCCATGGACCTCCACCTAAGACTTCATCTGGGGTTTGAGGGAGTGGGAGCTGGAGCAGCTGGCTGGGTTGGCTCAGCAGCTCTAGAGCAGAAACTGGATACTCCCTCTCCCTGCCTCTCCCCCTGCCTCCCCCTGCCTC